CCAGGTCCCATGATGTCCCCATCCATGTCCATGTCCCCATCCCCACCATGTCCCACGACATACCCATCCACGTCCCCATCCCCACCATGTGCCACAATGTCCCCATTCATGTCCAAGTCCTCACCATGTCCCATGTCCCACCATGTCCCCATCCATGTCCCCACCCATGTCCCACCATGTCCATGTCCCCATCTCCATCCCCATCATGTCCCCATCCATGTCCATGTCCACGTCCCAACCATGTCCCATGTCCCACCATGTCCCATTTCCCACCATGTCCCCGTCCATGTCCATGTCCCCATCCCCACCATGTCCCCACCATGTCCCATGATGTCCCCATCCATGTCCCCTTCCATGTCCACATCCCCACCATCTCCCCATCCATGTCCATGTCCCCTCCATGTCCCATGTCCCATGATGTCCCCATCCATGCCCATGTCCCCATCCCCATCCCCATCATGTCCCTACCCATGTCCCATGATGTCCCCATCCATGTCCCCATCCCCACCATATCCCGTGTCCCACCATGTCCCCATCCATGTCCATGTCACCATCCCCACCATGTCCCCACCCATGTCCCACAGTGTCCCCACCATGTTGCAGTCCCCATCCCCACCATGTCCCCTGTCCCACCATGTCTTCATCCATGTCCGTGTCCACGTCCCCATTACATCCCCTGTCCCACCATGTCCCATGTCCCACCATGTCCCCGTCCATGTCCATGTCTCCCCATCTCCTCATCCACGTCTTAGTTCAAGATCTTTATTTTTATTCAACTGTTGGGTGAAGGGATGAAGGAAAATGGAAGAAAAACAAAGCCAGAATACCAGGATTTAGGTGTCCCTGCTGGGTGAGCATCCATGGGCCTGCGTAGGTGGAAAAAACCTTTGTTAGCTGAGTTTCCACTCCATTGTCTCCAAAATCTTGGTGTTTTGCCCTGGTCCATCACCACCTGGCTGTAAAAGGTACCTGAGGGACAGAGACAATTAAAATCATGGAATGACAGAGGTTGGAAAAGATCTCCAAGACCAACCGCTATTCCTTGACATCATCACAAGAAATGACTGAACACAAAAGAAGAGATTTTTTGAGGTCGAAAGTAAAAAAATCCGCTTTTGCCAATGAGTTCCGGACGTCATTCTGCATCCCAATTTTTGTCCTGCTGAGCCCAGGTGAGCACAGGGAGCCAGGGAGATGTGGACACCACCAGCCAGGTGTCTTCCCAGCACGGATCACCAGGAGCACGGATCACCGAGTCCCTGCCCAGCGAGGCTCACTGGGGATCATCCAGAGCAGGATGGAGCTGGGGCAGCGCACAAAGCTCTTCCCGCACGCGGGGCACGCGCAGGGCTTCCCTTACCGGGCCCTCCCTTGCTGTTGGCTCACGGTAGAGCTCTGGGTGAAGCTCTGCCCACACTGGGGACACTGTTAGGGTCCCTCCATGCTGTGGGTCTGCTGGTGGGCGATAAGCCTGGAGCGGTAGATGAAGCTCTTCTCACACTGTGAGCACTTGTAGGGCGTCTCCCTGGTGTGGATCTTCCGGTGGATGTTCAGGTAGGATCTCTGGGCGAAGCTCTTCCCACACTCTGAGCACTTGTAGGGCCTCTCCCCGCTGTGGACCCTCTGGTGGATGATCAGGTTGGAGCGCTGGCTGAAGCTCTTCCCACACTCGGAGCACTTGTAGGGACATTCCCCGGTGTGCAATGACTGGTGGATGATCAGGTCAGTGCTGTCACGGAAGCCCTTCCCACATTCCCTACACACATAGGGTCGCACCCCAGTGTGGGTCAACTGGTGCCTGACCAGGTGGGAGCTCTTCCTGAAGCCCTTCCCACATTCCTCACACTCGTAGGGCCGTTCCCCGGTGTGGATCATCCGGTGGCGGATCAAACTGGAGCTGATGCTGAAGCTCTTCCCACATTCCCCACATTCGTAGGGCCGTGCCCCGGTGTGGATCCTCTGGTGGACAGTCAGGTGGGAGCTGACACTGAAGCCCTTCCCACACTCCCCACATTCATAGGGACGCTCCCCGGTGTGGACGGTCTGGTGGCGGAGCAGATCCGAGGTGTCTCTGAAGCCTTTCCCACACTCCCCACACTCGTAGGGCCGTTCCCCCGTGTGGATCATCTGGTGGCGGAGCAGGCGGGACCTTGTGAAGAAACTCCTCCCACACTCCAAGCACTGGTGGGGCTTCTCCCCATCCTGGAGCTTCTCATGGACCACCAGCTCAGAGCTCTGGCCACATCTCTGGCCGCCTTCCTGGCACAGGGTGGGTCTTTCCTCCTCAGAGCACCCTGGGCTGGGTTTGGAGCCCCTCCTCCTGAGGGATCTCCGCGGCTTTTCCTCCCCATTGGATTCCTGTGCCGTGGAGCCGCTCAAAACGGCCTCTTCCACCAGGTTCTGCCCCAGGGTTTTGTCCTCCCTGGTCTCCATCCTCAGCTCCTTGTCTGGGGGAGGAAGGACAAGGAGAGGATGGGATTTGCCTCCGTGCCAGAGGGAAGGGGAAGGAGATCCCCCCAGTGCGTCCCCGGCAGGACGGCGTCGGCAGCGGGGTTGTCCTGCAGCCGGGGGCCAGGCTGGGCTGGGAGATGGAGCAGGAGAGAGAGGGAAAGGGGCACTGACTTCCTCCTCACCTGCCTGGGTGTCCTGGGGCATCTTCCTCTTCCTCACAGCCTTCTCCTCCTCCATCTGGCCAAGGTTTGGGAATGAGAAATCCTGGTTTGGGGAAAAACAAGGTGTGAGTGCCTTGGCTTTGAAGGTCCCACTGCCCAAATCCAGCTCCAGAGGTCACCGCGGCTCTGGTGCCCAGAAAAATCCCCAAACGTAAAGCAGGAGGCCAAAGAAACTCTCCCGGCACTTCCCCCCGTTCCAGAGCCCTTCCTTTGGGGGTCCCGTGGCTCCTGGGGACGCCCCCTCCCCCGGCTCCTGCTCAGCCATGCTCAGGGGGTGTCGGGGCTGCCAGGGCTCATCCTCCCCCGATTCTGCCTCGGCTCCCGGGGCTCCCGGGCTCCCTTCTTCAGCATCCCCCACTCCAGACACTCACGCCTTCCCCTCCCCGACAGCGCTCCGAGCTTCGCCCGACCCGGACCCCACTCATCTCCAGGCCCCACCGCCCCTCCAGGCTGCCGCAGCTCCCCCAGCTCTGCTCTCGCCCCCTCCCCACGCCGGGGCTCCCGCGCTTCATTCCCCGCCGGAACCGGGCCA